TGTCAGCACCACACTCTCAGAAGTGAGCTAACCAGCCATTCCTATATAGGGATCGGAACCCATGGCCTTGGTGTCGTCAGCACCACACCAAGTGAGCCACAGGCCAGCCCACCAAGCCACTCTTTCCCCATCCACTCTGTGTATACTCTGGAAGGAAGTCACTGCACAGCGCACACGTAAGGGGTCGAGTTAGGATGCTCCACCTTCTTGAGGGCAGATTATCTACATAAATTACTTGGAATTCTTATGCCTAGATCTCTAGTTTCCCCCATTCATTTTATTTATAAAAATATGGACTCATGACATTTATTTTATACCTTGGATTATAATCCAATACTACATTGTTTTCAAATTTCTCCAGCTTTGGCTGTCTCTGTATTTTCAGTTGGACCTTGTGTCCCTTTGACATACCCCCCCCCCTTTTTTTTTGGCTGCTGGCATAACCCCATTTTTGATGTTTTTAAGCACTTATTTCTGGCACTACAGTATTCTCTGGGTATGCATCATTATTATCTTCTGCCCCACACCTAGAATCGGCCATTTCTCCAAGGAGCCCTAATTTCTTTTACTGGAGAATGGTACTAGAAACCTAAAACTGGGAGCTAAACGTGCTCATTGCTATTGGGCTGTCCTTACTCTTTGCCCTCTCAACTGAGTGCAAAGATGTGTGTGCTCACCTGCGCATATGCACATCACTATCAATATTTTCATATGGAACCATCTACATCAATATGAAGCTAAACATGAGTTCATCCTGGTGTCTCCAACTCTCACTGCCACACGGACTGCTCTAGCCTTCTCCCATTAGCTTCTCCCCTTGCTGCTTCTGTAAACTCCTACTCTGACAAACCTGGCCTCCACCATCTGCCATCTATACTCCAGCATTTTGTTATTCTCAGCAACCACCATTACTAGAAACTGTTAGCTTCCTCCTATTTTTTAAAACAAATGGTAGAATATTGCTCTGCACTTGAATCATTTCCCTGGGCAGAAAACATAAACTGGACATCGTTTCTTGCTGGAACATTCAGGTATAACTTATCTATTTTGAGGACTGCAAAATAATCCACGGAAGGCATCCAGATTATTTCCAATATTTTGCTGCAGCAATGTTGCAGGGATTATACTTGTTTTTGTAAACATACGGGAAGATTCATTTAAGTGAAGTGCTTGATCAAAGGGTATGAACATTTAAAAATCTGATATTGTCCCTTTGCCCTCCAGAGATTGGGCCTCCAGTCTTCTCACCATCAATCAGTGTTGGAGTATCTGTTTCCTAATGCCAGCTGCAAAGGATAGATCAGTATCAAATTTTTCCATCTTTGCCAATCATATGTGAAAGAAATTAGCTTTATTATATGCATCACAAATATATTTTCTTGACACTAGGGAGGTGTATTCTATTCAGAAATTTTACATTTTTATATAGTCAATTTATTATTCCTCATCCAGGATTTTGTGTTATGCTTATAAAGGCCTTTCCTCTTCTATGTTTTCTCCTAGTATTTTATGGTGTAGTTTAAAAAAAGAATCTCAGGGGCTGGCCAGTTAGCTCAGCTGGTTAGAATGTGGTGCTGATAATACCAAGGCCCAAGGGTTCAATCCCTGTAATGGCCACCAGCCCCAGGGGAAAAAAAAAAATTTTTTTTTTTGCATTTTCCATCTGATCTGTATTAGAAGTATCTCTCCATTACTACAGTCTCCAAACTTTTGAGGGCTGCTGACAACTGAGTGGAGTCTTAGCTTTCTTAATCACACTGACTAGTAAGGCCTTGTGTTTCTTGTTTCTTTAAAGACCCACTGGTGTCACACTCATCCCTGAGGGGCAAGGAGCCAGGGTGGGACTCTTATAGTATTTCACACGAGTGGACCTTCTACCACTCTGCTCACTTACCCACAAAGTCAAGTCCAAGAAATTCCTGTCCCCTGCACCCACAAGAGGGTAGAGCTGCTCTGCTCATCCCGAGCCTCCCTGCGTCCCACAGAGGTGCAGGCGCAGAGCTGGAGGCCCTCAGTGCCCATCACCCGCCCTCCCACAGGAGAACAGCCAACAACATGCTGAGGATTTACCGTAGAATAGATTTATTTACCTGAAACCATGTCTGTGCAATCCTTATTAGCACAGAAAGAAACAAACTTATCTCTATTTACAGTCTAAAGTCAAACATGCGTTGTGATAAACTGACGTTTAGCATTTTATTAAGATAAATGCATCACAATATTTGTATTGCACCAACATCTGTCTACTGCTTCTGATTTCATTAAATAAATTACATTTAATACAGTGTGAAATTGCTATCTGCGCACTCAAAAAATAACCGGAAGCTTACATTTTAACCATTCAACACCTGTAGTGTTTCTAATGAATTTATAAATAAGCAAACTGTACAGGGCCAATTAAAAAGTAGCATATTTCAATGTCACTGTAGAGAAATCTGGCTACTTACAACTGAAGGCATGCATTACAATAGAATATTGTACATTTACACAAGCTATGACATTTTGCACAGAGAAATGTGGAGACTTGGCTGATGGTTTCTAAGTTCTTAGATAAGGTTTTGGAACCTCATTCTTCTTGTAGCAAAGAATCCAAACTTCTCTGGAGAGGCTTTCTGATTCATTAAGCTAAATTGTACATTTGTAGTTATGATTTTGATTTAAAAGCTAAAAACCCCATTGGTAATCCACATTTCCTCCACATAACACACAATGAGTTGGGAACTTTTTTCTACTTTTCTCTTTCCCCAACATCAATCATGCAGAGGGTTGGTAGATGTGTTGCTAAAAACGCACATGCACGCAACCGAACACCCTTACATTTCTGCAAAATGGTTTAGGAAGCGGTTACTCCAGTATTGCTGAAAAGGAAAGAGAGAGGATATCAGCTTCATGAAATACGGGGAGGAAATGTTAGAATAACTAAGATGAAGATCAATAGTGACAGATGAAAAGAAATATTCAGCTTGATCTTTTAAGATTAAGACCAGCATTTCTGATTAACTGTCCCTGAGGTGCTGCCTACACTGTCACATCTAGAAGCACTGGTACAGTGACACACAGCCCTCGTGTCATCTGGCTACAAAGGCCACCCCTGCCTTGCAGGAAAATGACACGAGGCAGACACTTTAATTTCAGGCGTAAGAGCAGTGAGGTGGGCGAGAGAAAGCAAGGTCTGTGTTAGCAGTGCAGGGGAGATAAGTGGAGGGGGTGGTGAGCAGCAGCAGCAGTGCAGAACCTCCCAGCCCACTCTCCCCCTTCCCTCCTGGGCAGCCCGCCTCTGGGCGGCATGCCCAGCTCTTCCCAGCCCTGAAGGGTAACCACTGGACCTGGCTGCTTGTCATCCTTCCCTTTCAGTAAAGAAGGCTGAAGGCTACCCTTATCGGTAACTGCACGGGGTGGCTTGGCAGAATTCAGTGGTTGAAGTCAAAGAGCAGCCAATGACTTAGCTCATGGCCCTTGCAGACACGCTCTGGGCAGTGGTGAGGTGCTTGGCAGCCACAGAGCTAATGCTGTGGTCTCGCATATTCCTGAGGTTTGCCCACCTCATTCATGGGCTCAGGGCCCAGTTGGAGGGTGACGTGAGAGCAGCTGCCTGCAAGGGACACTGGCCAGGTGCCCTGCTTGTCTGAGAGCTCACCTAGCTCTTACGACAGTTCCTTCCAGAATGGATCACCCACATTTTGCAGAATGAGCTGCTAGAGTGGTACCCCAGATAGGGATGTGAGACTGCTGGTCTTCTGGGCAGAGGGCAAAGCTCTGTCATAGAGGACAGTCAAGGCCTGGGGCAGCAAAAAGCAACACTGATGGGATGGCCTTCAGCCCACCTGCTTATCAGCAAGGAGCTTGGAGCTGAGTTTAATGCTAGAGCTGTCCAACAGCAGGTGCATGGTGGGGCTGAGGTGACAACGCCTGTTCACTTACTGCTGTCCTTTCCTGGGGGTGCCAGGTGAGGACAGGGCTGAGCACCTGCTACCTTACTGCAGCATGGAGGCCTACAGCCAGGGATGTGCCCCAGATCTTGATGCTGGGCCTGTGCTTTGTGAGTAGACTCAGCTGAGAAAGAGCAGATGCTGGTAAGTTTTCAACCAGCAAAGCTGTAGTCACAAGAGACCAAGCAGCCCACCTCAAGGCGGCAGTACTACTCCCAGCTGTCTGTGTCGAGGGAAGTGGGTGCCCAAACAGCTGAAGGGGCTTGCGGCTGAGAAGCCACAAGGCAGCGGCCAGTCCAGGGCCATCTGGGGACACACACGTCTCCTCCAATAGCCCATAGCATTCAACTTTTTTTTGTAAAGGCCACTAAATCAAGGAACTGAGTCAGGAAAAATTGACTATCTGGTTAATTTTGTTTCCATTGAATGGTGCACCCCCAGCAAACTCAGACGCACTGTACCAGGATGCAGCCTGATGCACTCCTTGCATTTGATTCCCCTAACCCATTTTTTTCTATACCTTATGATGCCCAAACTGCCAACATCTACCCCCAGCCTCCAGCATCCTCTGCCAGGCAAACCAGCCTCCCTCCCTGAGAGCTGCTGCTCCCCACAAGCAGCCCTGGAGGCCTTGCAGTGAACCCGACCAGGACCGTGCTTTCAGAGTCAGTCCCTATGCTCCACTTCCATTTCCTTAAACTTGGACCTCTGAACTTGGCAGCACCTTGTCCTGCTTGCCACTCCTTAACTTCTCCCCAAACTCCAAGTATCTGCACCACATCTTCTGGCCATCACAATAACTAGAGCCTGAGCACCTTCACGAGAACAGTTGGGGACTCACAAGAGAGGGGGGAGCTGCTGCCACCTAGACCCCCTTCCCCGGGCTAGCGATTAGGCTGGCAGTTTTGGGGCTGAGCAGAGCCATGCCCTAATAACTGCTTCAACATACCCTGGAGAGATAAGACAACTCTTAGCCACAAAGAACGTGACCCAGAAAGGTAAAAAAACAGGTGGCCTATTTAAGACAAACCTACTGATGCTCAAGTTCACTGGTTCACAGTTACTGCTTTCACTAGCTTTTTGCTTTTTAATGAACAAAGTAGCAATGTTCTGGGATGATTCCTTACAGTAGCAAGGATCAAAAAGATCAAAAGCTCCATCTCATGTTTTTGTGAATCCCCATTTTGGCACTAGAGGAGAGACAGCCCCTTCAGCCTGCCAGTCTGGCCAAAAGTGAGTCTCTCCCCGCCAGGCTTCTGCCTGATGTGGCCCCTCCCCCAAATCTTGCTAAACCACTGTCCTAGGCAGTGAGTGGAGTCTACGGGAACCACACCTCCATCAGCTGATGCTACGCCTGCATCTCCCATGCTGTCCAGTGGTCACAGGCATATGTACCCCCACTGCTTTTGGGGCATCTCGGAGTACAGCAGCATCTGACACAAGGGGACTTATTGGTTAGTGTCAGTCACCTCATTTGGTGGCAGTCATCTTTAGGCTAAAGCATCCAAATTCCAGGGAAGAAAATACTCACGTTAGTTGATGGATGTTGGAAGGCATTGGAGGAAAATACCACAGTTAGGACTGTTAATGATTTATACACTGTTGGTAAGACCGATCTTGAACATGCACAAACATTGATCATAGTAACGATGATGGTGGTTAGTTCCACATTCAAATAAAAATAGTTCTATACAATATGTTCATTTGGTCATGTGCTATTTACAGATTTTACAAAACACACACACACACACACACACACACACACTCACTCACTCACTCACTTGCCCTTACGTTCTCTACACCAGGCTAGAACAGGCCAGCAGAAACTTTCATAAAATGTATTACCACAAATGACAAATGGTACTATACATTAAAAAATGAAATTCCTACAACTACCTATGCAGCAGAACAGGATCCTTCTTCCTCTCAAGCACAGTAAAACTACAGTTCTGAACTAAGAACTTGAGAAAGATGGACATATCTATTAAACAGTTCAAGGTAAGCCACTTAAGAGTTAAAAACAAGGCAGTTATTTCTCTCTGTCCATTTAAAATGTTTTATTTTTCTTTTTAAACTAGATTGTGAAATGCCACTGAAATAGGCAATGTTGGCAAAACAATGTCTGTTACAATAAAATACATTAGACATTTAAATAAATAACCTTAAAAACTATGTGAAGGGACATAAACCCAGTCAATTGAATCTGGAACAATGTTTTCTGCACAAGCGAGAACAGGCATACCTCTCGTTAAGACTGATGTAAACAGAACCATCAAAAACCCACAGAAAAAGCGGAGTGGAGCGGGGGTAGGGGTAGGGGTGGGGTGAATGGAGGGCCAAGAGGGTGAAGGGTGTGGCAAACCAAAAAATGCTGACTGAGGTAGCAGGACTCTGCTCAGTGCAGAAAAATTGGCTTATGAATAAAAATTAGACTGTGATATCAAATTAAATCCAGATAATCATGCAAGACACAATACATGCTATTTAGTTTTAGAAAAAAACACACATGTTCATTTCCTAAAATCTGCTGCCAATTAATTTGCTGACAATGTCTGCTGGCTCAACTATTTTTTTTATACAAGGATGAGTATTAAACAGAACACTGTACATGCTTTTTCATCTACAAAAAAATATTTGCATAAAATAGTGTTAGTTCTCTGTACATGTCAATGGACACTTTAATTATGTGTATAAAAAAGGAAAAATCTCGCCCCACTCGAGTCAGAAAAAGCAAAACAAAATCTAGAGTATGAAACCTCCGTCACCAGCCAATATGTTCATGTGAAAATTCAGCAGAAAGACAGTTGCTTTAAACAATAAAAAATTAATTGGTTAAGTTAAACATCTTCTTTATGTAAAACTGTCAGTCAAGACCAGAACATATCACTAAAGTTAGTGTCTGTGCTATAGACCCAGATCACCAGAGGCATTATGAGCAGTACAAATGGCCAGGAAATCCCATCGGTGCATGCCGAGAGTGAGCAGGATTTGGTGGCAGGCTGCACACACTCTTTACCAGGTTCCAGGTAGTTGCGGGCCACAAACTTCAGTGTCTCGTCCATGAGAATCACAGGCAAAGAGATTTTCAGCACCATCAGCCACTGAGTCACATTCAGTGGTGTGATCTGGAAGATGAGCTGAAACGCAAGAACAAGAAGCCTTGTCAAGCTTCCAGACTGGCTAGAAAGGAGGCAGCTGGTCCCCAGCCCAGGGTCCCATGATCACTTACTGGCAGGGGTTCTACATAAAGGATCAGGAAGTGGAGCGACATGGACAGGCAGATGGAACCCACGAGCCAGATGTTCTCCCAAGGGGGCATCCTCAGCAAGGACTGGTTTTCAGACAAGCTGCAGAACAAGGACAGGTCTGTGAACTCACCAAAAAGGCAAAGGCCGATGTCACAAGTGTCAGTTAGAGATCTGCTGAACTACACTTCAATAAGCTGCTAACTTGGCATCATCTATGGACCTCACTCTACTGACTAAAGTTTTACAACGGCAAAGTTAAGGAAGAGAATGTTCAGATGTAGGACAAAATGCCAATTTTACATCTAGGCTGCGGCACAGATCCCATCTCAGCAAGCTCAAAGCTGCTCTCAATTGCCCTAGACGCTTAGGCTATTTAGAAGTTTCCATTTTTCTCACTGGCTTAATTGGACGATACCATCTGTTTCTATGTTAAAGGGTGAAAGCTCCTTCCCTGTGGGTACTGGCACAGAGGGGGTAACGAAGTTCCTACTTTTGGCTTCCACTGTTTTCTTTTAAGGAAGAGCTCTTAAGAAACACATGGCTAAGCACTCCCACTACTTCCTGGAGGTGACAGTAGCTAAAGCTTTTAAAACCAGTATTGCTTGTTCTCCTTTCTTTTTGGAAGGGAGGAGCTTTCCTTTGATCCTCAATCAACCATGACACACACAGTCCCCCATTGCCCAAGCGGTCAGAGTTCTCACCTCAGCCTACCAGCGACTCACTAACCTGTTGAGGGCATTACACATCTCTATGGTTACTAGAACAGAGAGTGCCATTGTCATCGGATATGGGGATTCAAAGATTGCACAATCCACTCCTTCAAAGTCCGGGTTGTCATCTTTACACTGTAGGAAATGACTCTGCAACAAAAGTCCATTAGAATTCCCGTCAGTCAAGTACATTTCTGAAGTCCAGGCACCGACTCCACGCCCCACAGCACAATAGCTGTGGGGTTTTACCTCTTTTCTCAGAGAAGCCCTGGTCCTTCAGAATCATCTTAGATGCAACTGCTCATTGTTCGAGCAGTAAGATGATTTGATAGCCACCCACACCGCAGAAAGATCAAGGGCTCGCAAGGCTTCACATCTAAGGTAAAGAAAGGTAGCTAAATACCAGCTGGTAGAAGGACACTCTTGGACCACCGTCGGCCGCGATGAACCACCACGCAGCAGCACCCACGGTAGCAGCGCCGACATAACCTGGGAACAAACATTGGCAATTGCTGACACACGTGGGGCCTGCAGTGCTCAACGCAGGTGATGACACGTGGCCAAGCCCCATAGGGACAAAGATCGCAGCAGCACCCACGGTAGCAGCGCCGACATAACCTGGGAACAAACATTGGCAATTGCTGACACATGTGGGGCCTGCAGTGCTCAACGCAGGTGATGACACGTGGCCAAGCCCCATAGGGACAAAGATGAAAGACATGGGATGGTGATGGCAACTGGAGCCTGTGCTGCTACTAGCAGCTGCTCACGCTCAGCAGCCAGAGCAGCTAGACAACCGGTTTCTGAAAGGATGGGGATTTCCGGTACAGAAAAATTAGGCAACTTTTCCACCAGAATTTGTGAGAAAAAGTACCTACTGAACCTTGTACTGACCTTTGTACTACACAAGCCTTCTCTAGTCAGCGAGTAAATACTTGGAAGGCTGCAAGCACTTGTGTCCTCCACATAAGGCCACACAGTGTGGGGACCAGATCATACCATGACTTTTAGGCAAACTGATGCTACCTAGCCTATGCAAAGGCAGTTAAAGCAGTTGGTGCAGCACACTGAGCAACACTCCACTGCCTGCAGCAGATTCTGGGGCTAACCCCTCCCCACCAGTACCTTTGAATTCAGGAAGTTTATTACAAAGAAGCAACAAGGTGGGGGACAGAGAACACACAGACTTCAGAATATGAGAATGTCCCCATGTGGTGGTATCCATCAAAAATTACAAGTGCATACTCCACTAGCCCAGGAATTACGCTGGAGCATGAGGCAGCTGGTTATGAGGATGAGGCAGCTCTACATGTAGTGATATGGGATTATCTCACAAGCAGGAAGAAACGAAGATAAGATTCAGCACACAGATGAGCAGAGCATGCTATCATTTTTGCAAGAAAACAAACAAACCCCAAAACAAAATGTATCTGTCTGCTAGAATATCTCTGAAAGGGTACATGGTACATGAGAAAGTGGCAACGCTGGAGAGAACTCATTGGCCGAGAACCTTTCCTCTCTATACCATTGTGTGCTTTTGGATTTTAAGTTGTGTGCGTGTATTATTAAATCTTCCTATGGGATCCCAGGAAGCGATTTCACCTCTTTGGGCCTTACTTTCCTAACCAATGAAATGGGTAAAAGAATTAGCATCCTAGGTCAGAAGGATGAGGTCTAAAGAGATGATTTATGTAAAAATGGGATCATGCATGTGCCAGCCACTGCTGAAGACTTAGTTTCTTATCTTGCTGATAATTATCTATTCACATTTCACCTAATAAGCTCTCACTCTTAGAAGGTAGTACCTAGCTTGAGTCATCCTTGTATCCCTTTGCACCTAGGGCTGAATCTGAAAACCCTGGTTGTTTAACTGCTCATTCACTGAATCCCAAGGAAAGCCAGGATGCTAAAACAGGGACTAATTGTTGAGCAACTTTAGTAGAATGGGTGCATAGTTCATTAAACTGCAAGAGGGCATCCTCCATTTTTTGCTACAATAATATGGAGACAGAAGAAAAATGTGCTTTTTTTTTTCTTCCTTTTTTTGTCTTTTTTCATGACTGGTAACAGGATCGCAACCCTCGGTGTCGCGCCTGCACCGCGCTCAACCAGTGAGCGGACTGGTC